ATGATGAACTTGTCTTTGCGGTTGAGATGATCAAGGTTGTAGTTGTCTTCAACTTCAATATCACTCTCATCTTGATCATCTACTTGTGCTTTCTCCTTTTCTTGATCTTTCTTGTTACTCTTCTTCTTTCTTTTCATGGCCATGAGACACAAGTGATGAGTATCATGAGATACTGAGGTTGACTCATCACTTGGTCGCCACCGGGCTTGGGCATCGTTGCAAATAGCTGCTTGCTGCTCTGCTGCCTCGGCCATACCGGACATGTCTGGTAGGCATACCAAACATGTCTGGTATGTGCAGGCAGACAGCAGGTCATGCGCTGCTTGCACTTCTTGCTCTGGCTCGGCGCTCTTGAGGTCTTGTGAGGCTTCTTCGCTGTATGAAGACACAATGGACATACTTTCCATTGACTCAATTTCAAGTGCACCATCACATTTGGATTTTCCATATAAATCAAAAAGTATAGTCCAAATGATATGAGCACTCTCCGGAGGTGGTTGTCCATTGAAGATTGCCTCATCTTGAACCTCTACACTCAATGTACTCAACATGACATTAATAGCTTGAGCATTGAGTTGCACGCATATCTCTTCCTCTTTTGACAAATTTTTGTAGTTGCTCCAATCAACTATAGAAAGAGGTATGCTTGCATCCACAATATGCTCAACAAAAGGACTAATATCCCTAAAAGCATTGAGTACATGAATTGACCAAGGTAGAAAGTTTGAACCATCATTTTGGAGAAGCACCGGCTCCAACTCGATAGGCGTCGATATCCTTTTCTCACGGTGGTGAAGCTTTAGGTGAGAACCTTGCTCTGATACCAATTGAAAGGACCTAGGATGCCACCTAGAGGAGGGGTGAATAGACGTTTCTGAAAATTATCACCTTTAAATACGGAAACAATTAGAAAAGGGAGTTTCCAAAATGGAAACTCCAAATTAAGAGTAATACCACCCCTCACAAGTTAGCCACAGAGTAAACAAGGTATAAAGAATATATCTAGAAGCTACAACTCTACAATACAAAGTTAGAACAGAGAATAAATATTTTTAGCATAAGTAGGAAATACCGGACGTGTCCGGTATACACGATTTCTGCAGAACAGCCCCAAACTTGTTCCTTTTGATTTCTATCTTCAAGCCAAATTGTAGGTACCTACTAGAGATGACAATATACACAGAGAATCTGCACAAGAGCTAGAGCAACACAAATATCAAATGAAATACGAATTGAGACACGATATTTGTTTTACCGAAGTTTGGACTCGTTCGAGTCCTACTCGCCGTTGAGGGGGGTTGTGGGCGATCCAGCGAAGATCAGCCCTAGAGGGTACCACGAAGGTCACTCTAGTTGGAGTCTTTTCCAACTCCTTTTCCTCCTTCCACTAGTTGATTCTGAGGCGACGGAATCGACCGTTACAAACTTTTCAAGGCACACCACAATCTCTCGGTTGCTCTCCGATGACGCCTAGCCGTCTAGGACCGAAGAGTCCAAGAGTAACAAATGCAATTCACGAGATTGACAATATGCACAAGTGCTCAAGTGGTTGGATTGCTCTCTTTTTGAATTTCTCTCAACCCACTAATTGATTTGGCAATTTGGATCACACACTCACTAAGAGAGGGTTTGGGAGAGTTGGCAAGGCTCAAAAACGTGTATGTGTATCAGTAGAATCAGCAGCCTACAAAGATGGAGGCTTGGGGGTATTTATAGCCCTCTTGGAAAAACTAGTCGTTTTATAGCCGTTGCCATACTGCATACCGGACACGTCCGGTATGACTTACACTGCCCCAACGGTAACTAAGTTATAGTGACAATGTGAGGCGTCGGAACCCCCGATGAATGCCGGAACTTTTGACCGTCGGAACTCCCAACTCATGTCGGAACTCCCGACCCTCAACACATTTGAAAACTACGTTAACTGAGTTAAAGTATGTGAGGTGTCGGAACTCCCGACTCATGCTCGAACTTCCGACCGTCGGAACTCCTGACTCACGTCGGAACTTCTGACCCTCAAGGCATTTGAAAACTAGCCGTTGGCATCTGGCCGTCCATATACCGGACACGTCCGGTATGACCACCACAGTGAACTCTCCAAGTTAGTTAAACGTGAGACATCGAAACTCCCGACCATTGCCGGAACTCCCGACCGTCGGAACTCCCGACTCACGTCAGAACTCCCGACGAACCAACCCGAGATCAACAATATTACCATTGCTGGGCAAATACAGGACATGTCCGGCCAGACCAGCAAAAAAATAGGTTAGCTCTTTTGTCTCTCAAACACTCAAAACTTCACATGGGTTGGCTTGAGCACTTATGAAACATTATCTATCAACATGACCATCATAGCTTGATTAGTACCTCAACTAAATGCAAGTACTTTCTTCTTCACCCTAGCTAGGTTCTTCGGCCGTCGAGCCATCGCTTGCCCTTCACCCTTGCTTAGTACATCAAAGTCTTTTCTTGCTATCTTCACCATCTCAAGCCATCAAGTCACATCTTGTGTTGAAACATCCATTCATTTGTATTGTTATCTTTTTCATTTCAATTTAGCAAGCTTCAATTATGAGACCATTCCATATGCAATCCCTCATGTCTCGTCAACTAATTTTTACCGGGCTTGCTTTCACATAGTACATGAAAATCCCATAATAAATAAGCATTTGTATGAATTCCATTTGTATTGTTGTCTTGTGCTTGAACTAGATTGTTTATACAACAACAAATCATTTTGGCTTTCATTAAGTACCTGTGAGATAACCTATTACTTGTCCACACTTAGCAAACGGGTTAGACGTTTAATCACATTGTCATTCAATCATCCAAAACCCACTAAAGGGCTAGATGCACTTACAGACCAAAAGCAAGATCATAATAATTTACAAGTGGTAATTATCTATAAGTAGTAATGGTCCGAGAAAGGGAGGATAGTGGATTATGGATTAGTCTGTAATGGGGAGAATTTGTAGGACCAAAAAGCAAGGTTTAAATCCATAATGCCACATGGGGACATTTGCAAGGGCAAGATAAGTTGTCAAAGATGTTTACATGTGGTACCTTTTAGCTTTACAATTGGTATCTTCAATTAGTATCTTTTAGTCTTACAAGTGGTATCCCTTAGCATCATATAATCTTGCCCTTTTGCATTTCATCCTAGCAAGTAGATAGTTTTTAAATTCTAAATTTTTATTATTTGCTTGCTTTGGTCGTGTTGTCATCAATCACAAAAAATAGGGAGATTGTAAGGAAAATGGACCCTAGGCCTATTTACTTTGGATTTTGGTGTATTGATGACCAACACAACCAAATTGGACTAATGAATTTACAAGTGATTGTTCTTATAATCCAATAGGGTGCAAAACATAACTTGGATGAAGGCGACGCGATCATCCGATGATCAACACCATAAGCAAGACCTTAGAAGCACAAGAGAAGACCCAAGATATCAAGCAAAGTCTAAGCACGAAGATAGGAACCAAGCCAGACGCAAGATCGCGAAGAAACGAGCTCATAGAGGTGACCGAGCGCTGGACCGAACGCTGGTGTATAGCGACCGGATGCTCCGATCAAGAGGCTCGGCAACAGAAGGCGTCAGCAGCAGCGACCAGACGCTGAACAACAAAGTGACCGGATGCACCGGTGGTACTGTTCATCATCATCGGCAACACATCTAGTACTGACCGGATGCTGGCGACAAATCGACCGGACGCAGAACTGCAGTGTCCGATCGAGTACAGAGAGGTTCCAGAGCGGCGAAATTACGACCGGACGCGTCCGGTGGCATGTGACCGGACGCTGACAGTGTCCGATCATTTGATCTTGGCTCTAACGGTCGGGACGACCGGACCCGTCCGATCAAGACGACCTGCGCATCTGGTCAGTAGCCGAAAAGCGGGATTTCAACCCCATCGGCTACATTCTCTGTGGGGCTTATAAATAGCCCCCCCCCAACTGGCCATTTGTTATGTGTGGAGCTGAGGAAACATACCAAGGGTGTTGATACACCATTTTAGTGATCTTCACTTGCATAGTGCTTAGTGATTCATTAGGTGATTAGCGTAGGTGTTTTGTGAAGTGCTTAGGTTGATTAGACCACCGCTTATGCGCTTGCTCTAGGTTTAGGCCTAATGTTTAGTGAGGTTTGCATACTTCTTACCACTCGGTGCTTGCGCGCACCATTATTGTACATCGGAGGGGCTTGTAGTTTTGTGAGATCATACCATTCACGTTTGTGGTGTGGCCGTCACCGTGTATCGGAGGGAACAAGGCCCACGACGTTTTAGCCGGACGCTTGATAGGGAAGACGGCGGGGAGCATCCGGAAGAGGCTTGCCGGTAGACACGTCAAAGATCCACTTGTGCGTGGGGAAGGCCCGAGACTATCCACAGAGGTACCCGACCAGGAGCTTCGCCCTTGCGAGTGATTCCTTGCGAGGGGCTCTAACGAGGACTAGAGAAAAGCTTACGCGCTTCTCGATACCTCGGTAAAAATACCGAAATCGTCGACGAAAGTTTACATATCTCTACCTTGCTCTTTAGCTTCTACATTTACATTGATTGTATTACTCCTTTTACGGTAGAGATAGCAACACACTAGCAAAACCGTAGTTGCACATTTAGATAATTTATTTTTTACATAGGTTTTTGCTAAGATTAGAAAAAGAGGCCATAGTTTAAAAGTAAAATTTTAAGTTACCTAATTCACCCCCCCACTCTTAGGCGTCACGGTCCCCTACAGCAAGTAATGAAAACCAAGACATGAATGAGGAAGTATTGCTGTGACGGGGATACTCTTATTGGAAGGAACCAAGTCATATAAAGTAATTTGGTGCCACATAGTTAAGAGGCGACAAGAATGCTGAATGGTATGCTTGAGCCACATCTTATGAAATTTGTCTTTAGCAACATCTTATGGAATTTGTATTATCCACGCCGTCAGTAATCAAGTATCTCACATTCTTCACTAGAGCTTTCTAATCTTTGTATGCAATTTGTCTACTCTTTAAATGCCGGTAAGCCCCATTCAGTAGGTTTGAAGTCCAACAATGAATTGAGAACTTGGTCAGCTCCTTTGTGATATGAAACATCCAGCCTCGGATCTGGGACCATCACTGCAGACCTGCATAAGTAGCAAGAGTTGTAGTAAAAAAGGTACAAATGGTTGCAAAAAGTGTGTATCTAGAACAGCCCCTTACATTCCAGCATTTTTCGCGGCAGCTACACCGTAAGGAGCATCTTCAAAAACCAAGCACTTACTGGGTTCTATGTCACCCTAAAAAAAATTCAATGCAGCTGCATCAGTAGAGATTCTCACAGACAGCATCCAAAAGGAACATTCAAATTGCAAGTGTTGCCATATGATCAAATCCAATACCTCCATATGATCAAATCCAATACCTCAAACCTCCTCATAGCAGCGAGAAAAATATCAGGGGATGGTTTGTTAGCCTTCACCTCTGGATCATCACCCATGACAATATGATGCATCAGGGAAAACATTTCCTGGTGGTTCTGGGTCTTCAGTGCAAAATGACGTTTATGGGACCTGGAAGCCACAGCAAGTCAGCAACAAACATTAATAGGGTTCTAATTCATGGAAAGACAATGGGCATTCACCATTGAGGAAAGGCCAAATGGATGATCAGATGTAAAGAAACATACCCTGTCGCAACAGCCATTGGCATTCCGTTGGCATGAAGATGATGGACCAAACGTAGTACTCCTGCAAGAAACAAGATTCATTCAACACATCATAAGCAAACTATCTATCACAATTTAAGTAAATTACAAAAAGGAATCACAAAGCACTTGTATTAAAGCAACTTGATCACTGATGCTAAAATGTTGATTTTTATTCTTCAAAATATCCCACCAGTCAAGGCATAATTTAAAAAAACAATAATTTTACCACAAGAGATTGTCTTAAGAGGAACAATGTAAAGTCAAAACTGGGTCTGGGACATTACAAAAAAGTGTCAACTGCAAAAGGCCACAATCTGAAATCTTGAAAAATATGGCAATTTCCTCCGGTTCCACTTCAATGGACAAGTAGACATCATTACCATTAAACAGCCTGGAGTGCATATGCAACAGATTCGATATGATACCATGAAATGTAACAACAACAACAACATAGTCTTTCAGTCCCAAGCAAATTGGGGTAGGCTAGAGTTGAAACCCACCAAGAGCCCCAAGTCACAGTTCAGACACTTCAATAGCTGCTTTCCAAGTACTCCTATTCAAACATAGATCTCTAGGTATATCCCAAGCTTTCAAATCTCTTTTTATTGCCTCCCCCATGTCAATTTCGGTCTTCCTCTACCTCTCCTCATATTATTAGCTTGGCTTAGGACTCCACAATGCACTGGTGCCTCTGGAGGTCTTCAACATACCATGAAATGTAAGTTAGCGCAAAATGGCCCATTGTGTTAAGCATCACCTATAAAGTCAATCACATATCTGAAAGTTGAATTTATATGTTCACAGGAAATGCTGTGCAAAAATACTATGTGTTGATTCATTGATTGATATAATACTTAATACGTAATGTGGCTGCATCTAAAGTTCACTTCCTCGCTTTGATTTCATGGTGGTACATGAAACAAGAAATCAAAGACTGTATCTTGTGAAGGACAACATTTAGCAAGATGAAAGCAAATGGCCAGAGCAACTATGGAATTACATCTGAATATATCAACTTTAGAACTCAAGCTCGTTCCTTAGAGTACAACTGTACAGTATTGTCGAATCGATTATGCATAATGGTAGACCTCTGGTTATATATCCTACAAGGAGAAGTCTGAGAGGCGTCTATGTTCATCTTAGGCTCACCTGGTAGCTTGGTGCAGGATGGGAAGAGCGCCTGGAGCATGCTCTCGCGCTCCTCGTGGAACTGCTCGTGGGTGAGCAGGCCGTTGAGGCCGTACTCGTCGACGAAGATGCGGGCGGACTCGGTCGCCTTCTTGCCCATCATCTTGGCATTGAGCGACCAGTCGAACACCTTGCCGTACCTCGCCAGGATCTTCTCCTGGATCTCCGTGTAGAAGCCCTCCGTGTCTCCACCCCGCGCCACAGGCCGACGATCATCAGCGCACTCCGGTCATGGAATGGGGATGGGGCCAAGAAAATGGACATCCCCGATCGACAAAACATGGACAAGATAGAGATACCGAGAAGGAGGCCGTCCATATCGCAGATTACGTGCGAGATGGCGGCCTTAGGTTGCGCCGCCGCGCCGTCATCGGCGCCAGTGGATGCCATTGCGCGGGGTGAGCAAGTGCGAGTGCGAGTGCGAGTGCGAGTGAGAGAGATCTGGGCTGGGCGACTGTGGGAAGGGAATCTCTGGTGGATGCCGATTGGCGTGCGCTTCTTCCCTCCGATTGGGAAGGGGAGGGGAGGGGAGGGGAGAGGGATGGATGACCTCAGCATCTTGCGGGCCGGGTTGGGCCAGGACCAGGATAGAGGAAAGTTGGCCTATGCATATAGGAGTACTTTAAAAATACCATTCCGGTTTTTGTTTTAGAATAAATTTAGTATCGGTCTATATTGGTGTACCGTGATATATTTCTATATATAATAACTTTATCCACAATTATTTTCAGAAATAAATAAAGTTAGGTAAAGATAGTATGCATATAAGGTGTTCAGTATGCTGAAATGCTTATGAGCAATTAGCTTGCTAATTTTGATGCTTCCACTACCCCGCGTTCACGTCTCTAAACTGTAGGTGGTGCTCTAACCTATCATTAGTAAACCGATCTTTTATTAATACTCTCTCCATTTGAAACTATAATACATTTTGATTTTCTTGTTGTATTATTGTATATATCTAGAGAGAATATATATTTAGGTGCATAGCAACAACTATATATCTAGAAAAGTCGATGTCATATAATTTAAAATTGATGAAGTAAATATTATACTTATAATTTAGAATGGATAGATCACAGTGATCTCACAAAGGACGCGATCTAGTGATCTGTATATAGCTGTAGGTTTGTTTATGAACGCGTTATGTGAGTGTGGCGTGCGTGTGTAGGGTTAATATGAGTCTATACATGAGAAGATTCTACAGCTGTGACTAGGTGAGAGGCATAAAAAAGGAAGGGAGAGGAGATAGTGAGAGCGATTGGATATTTTGCACCTTCAATTTATTTAGTTTTTCATTCTCCTTTTTTTTTGAGGATTTAAACTTGCATTGCATCACAAACAGATCGCAGATAGGTTATAGCGATGGGAATAATATTGTCCAATCGAACTTGATATTACACATAAAAGATTAAGCAAATGCCTGACACGAGAAAAAGCATGAAGTCCCGATTACAGACAGGTTACAGAAAATGGAGATCATGTTATCCCAATCAAACTTGATATTACACGTTAGAGAATACGTTACGTTAGAGAATGAGCTAAGTGTCTGGCAAGAGAAAAAAGCATAAAGACGAGGATCATGTTTTATTCTAATCAACCGAGACCCAGTCAATCCAGACAAATGCGAACACCCGTGTCAAGTCTAATACGAGCACCCAATCAAACTTTGATATTACACGTTAGAGAATGGAGCAAGTGTCTGGCACGAAAAAAAAACATGAAGTCAGGGATCATGCTATCCCAATCAAAACAAACTGATATTACATGTTAGAGAATAAGCAATCCCAACCGAACTTGAACTTATATTAGAGAATGAGCAAGTGCGTGACACGAGAACGAGCTATGCCTGGCACGAGAGAGAGCATGGAGTCGGGATGTTCATCTGTTTTTGCAAAGAGCACAATGTCCCAGGTGACGATCCAGCAAGCACAGCACGGGCCACCATCTGATTATCAGTTAACAAAGTTGCATTCCGAATTCGTTGCAAGTAAGAAGCTGACAGAATGAACTTAAGAGAGACCGATGGACAGACGACAGCGCAAACGAATGAAAAGACAGATTTTTTTTATTATTACAATATAAATAAAAATATTAGAGGTATATGGAAGGTAGAGAGTACATGTACGTATTAGAAAATACTCTAATACCAGAGATACATTATTTGGCATACACTATCACACAGCGACCATTCGTGTACAAGCTTCTTCTGATATACATCATACTGTTACGCGTCGCAGCAGCTCACTGGTACTGCCCGCCGGTACGCGCGGCTGCGCGAAGTCGCTCCCGACGTGCGGGTTGTGCGCGGCGCTGGGCCGCGCCGTGCCGGTGGCCCTAGCGATGGGGCGGGTCTCGCCAACGCCGTCCTCGACGTGCCCGCCCGCGGGGGCAGCTCCGCCGCCGCCGTAGCCCTGCCGGGAGGCGTCGACGATCCCGGGCGCGCCCTGCGACGGGTGCTGGTACGCGGCCGCGCCGGTGGCGCGCTCCTTGGCGGCCGCGTTGGCGCGCACGGCGTCCTGCTTCTCCAGCTCCGCGTCAGGCACGCGGTCCCGCTGGTTCGCCTCCGCCGTAGCCCTGTCCGACGCGTTGTGTGCCGTGGCCTTCTCCACCTGGCCTTGCACGGCGGCGCGGGTCTTCTGCATGCCGGCGTTCGCCGAGGCCCCCACGTTGGCCGCCGCCTCCTTGGTCGCCTCCATTGCCGTCTTCCCGTCCTGCATGGCGGCTGTTTGCACTTGATCTCTCTCTCTCTCGCTCGCAAGTATAGCTAGCGAGTGTCGTGATCGTTTGACTATAATCGCAGGGAATGACGTACGTGTGCCGTGTGCGGTAGCTGAGAGAGCGTTCGGATTTTCAGGCTGTTCGGGAGGCCGTATCGTATCGTGGATTATTTACTGCTGGCTAGTTTGGTGTGAGAGAAAAACACGGTTTCTGGTCGGAAATTTACGATCGTTTACGAGCAAACGAACAGATATAGGTTTTGTGGATGTGGACACGCGTCTGAGAGCGGGGAGCCTGGGACAAACAAAGCGGCGAGGTGTTGACACGTTCGCTAGCACGTGTGGAGACACGCGTAGCTGTGTGTGGAGCGCGGGGACACGAGGCCGGATACAGAAGCTTTGCCGAGTGCAGGGATGCACGCGTCGACGTGGTCACCGGAGGAGACGATCCGTCATCCACACCATGCATGATTGCACCTTCCATTCCCCACGTATACTTTGGTTTATTCTAGATTAATTGTACTAATACATTAGCACACGTCTTACCGTATTGAAATAGAAACTGCAAAGTGAAATCCTTGTCCACCACATGTAAGACAAGAACCGGCAAAATGCAGAGACACCACTGGTCCAAGCCCGTTTTAGCAGCTCAGCCCAAAATTTTAGGTGCCATGCATATATATACTCCCTCCGTGCAGAAAAGACTGTCATTCCAAAATTGAGCAGCAAAACTAAGTCTGCTACCAAATGACAAAAATACTCCTATAAATGATAGTCTGACATTGCAGCTCTGTAATCATAACCGCGCTAGAGACGGAGGATACGATGCTGGAAATTTGCGATGAATCGTGTGGAGGGGTGACCATCCCCGTATCGGCATGCAGGGTTTTTGTTTTTTTATACGGCCATGATGTATTTTTTTTATTACGTGAGATGTTGTTTCATGAGTGGATACCATATCCCTGGTACCCTATCATGTTAGCTTTACTATCCTAAAACGACGGTCTTTCCGGGATATTTTTTCAAATGATAGATCGACGGTCTTTCGCGGACGGAGGGATTACGCCGGACTAAAATACTAAATCAACAAATTTCTCTCTCCTCATTCTCTGTCTCGGCCTCTTCTCTACAGCTAAAAGAAATCTTAAAACAAAATCATTTATATGGCTAACCCTATGGCCACGCTCGTCCCTCTTCCCCCTGTTGATCAAGCGTCCCTTCCTCCTAAATCGAATTTTTCCTATCACACACAGGTAAGTCAGCCCTCCACAGTCCATGCATTTCCTCTTGTATTTAGGGCCTCTTTGGCACGGCTTATGTCGGCTTCGGTATCATCTATTTTGTATAAATCGAGGCATCGTAGCGTGAAGCCATTTTGTATATCGGGGTTAAAATGAACTAAAAGCCGGAAAAAACCAGTTTTTCTGGCTTCACCGGCTTTGGCTTCACCGGTGAAACCGTTTTGGATGAGCCGTGCCAAATAGAGCTTTACTTTTTGTGCGTGCTTGATTTTGGGCTGCTCCGATCCTCCGAACAGCCGTTGCTGGGGATGCATGATTGTACTCCTATATTTACACAAGGAAGAGAGAGAACCGGCTCTGCCAAAAGGTTTGTGTATATTTTTTTTTTTTGAGAATAAGGTTTGTGTAAATTGGTGCATGCTTTACAGAGGTGGCAAATAAAGGAACCTACTGGAAATAATTTACGGAGGCAAGTCTCTTAAGCCGCGTGATTTATAGAGCCATACGTTTGTAAAAATTAAATAACGGCAGTACAGATAGCAAAAAAGATAATTCGAGGAAATCCCACAAGTTACACAATTTTTACAAAGCCAAGCAAATACGTTAGCGAGGCAACACCACATGTTAATGATTGTCCACCTTGAAAGTAAACCGTATTGATCTCCACATGGATCATGGCTATTCGACCCCAAAAGTAACAGCACTATAAACCTCTCATGTCATAACTCATAATACATACAGAAGATTCAACATAACGATGGTTAAGATCGATCAAATTTAAAAGCTTGCTACCTCCCCAACTAGAGACACCATTACGGTGCCAAGCTCACAGAATAGGTCCACAACAGCAGATAGCAATGCCAAAAGATCCATCAGATGTTTACAGATTGATAATGGCACAATCAGCACATAGTCACACCATACTTCGACCAGACAAGTACTGATACACTTAGCTTCTGTTATCATCAGAGACCATTAAACATACTATGAGGATAAGATAAGTTCGTTCGACGAATTTAGCACCTAGCTCAGCAACAGCTTCACTTCAGCTCTGAGGGAAGAGCCAAGTCCCAAACACCATGCCAGGCTCCCATGACACAGTTGGCAGGGGGTTGGACACCTTGCCGTCCGTCATGCTATAGACCCTGCAAGAACTTGAGCCAGCACACAAACTGTGATCCCAGCCCTTCTCCAGGAAGAAGATGCAGTCCCCTGGCAACGCGTTATGAGGAGCACAAACAGACCTGCTGCATCGTCGACTTAGAAACAAAATCTCGTTGTTCCCGATCGTCGTCACCTTAAGCCACTGTGACTGACTGAGGTCAGCTTCAAACACCTCGAACTCTGCATGTCCAGCTGCATCGGGACCATCCAGGTCGTCGAATGGGTCGCACAACTTTCTCATCACCACCAGCAACACACCACGTGATTCAACTAGATGGGCCATCATGTGACCACCTCTTAGGAAATAACCTATGTCCAAACATGGACATTCGATGACATTTCGTATTTGAGAAATCCATGGATCACCGCTGCTGTGGTCCACGCTGACATCGATGGCGAAAAGTGTAACCATGAAGTCAATGGCATATAGCTTGCCCTGATGGAATGCCATGTCATCAAAGCTGACGCAGAGATTTTCCGCCCATACAGACCACCACGAGGTAGCCCCTGCCTGGCACACTGCAATCCGTTGGCCTCCCGTGAAATAGATTGTTGCTACAATGAGATTGGATGAACAGAGCCACAGTTTGCAATTCTTTGGCTCCATCTCCAACTTCAACGTTTCAGCCATTTCCATCCATGCTAGGGTTGCCACATCAAGGGACTCATCACCCACATCCACATGCAGGGGCCGTTCTTCTAGAGTCAAAGAGGGTCCAGGGCTCAGGCCATCTTCATCCTTCAGAACTCCTCCTCCATCTCTTCCACAGCGAGTAGAAGGAGGGCACTTCATGGTTGTGGGGGCAGTAGAGGGGGCTTGACTCCAAACTGGTCCACCGTCAGTGCCCACAAGCCGGGTTCGGACACGGGACAGAGGTGGAAGTGTCACGGTGGCATTGGAGAAAGGATCCCTCAGGAAACGGCCCTCTTCACTTGAAAACATCAACCAGTCGCCACAAGCGTCGGTGTATCCCGTGGAGCCAGGGAAGTGGAACGGGTCGCTTCCGGGCAGGCTGTACACCCTACTGTCCGAAAGCAGGAGTAGAGGCAGCGGTGGGGGCAGGGGCCCGTGCCGCGTGGCCGCGCGCCACTGGGGGCACACGGCGGCGAACCGGACGCGGTCGACGTGGGCAGGCAGGCGGCGGAGGATCCGGCCGGCGAGGTCCAGCGGGATGTCCGACCACGACGTTCCCGTGGTATCCGCCATCGGTCGATCCGACCCTGCAAATACGATCGGAAGAAACAGCAGCCGTCAGCGAGGACACACATTGCGTTCATAAACCGGCAGTAAACTGGCAAACAGGCAATGCACCGAACACCTTGCGCGCTTCGACCGCGGCGAGAGCAAGGGGAGCCGAGGGAGTAGGGACAGAGGAGCGTCGAGTTCGGGGGAAGGAATGCTGGCGGCTTACCGGAAATCGACGACTGCGGCAGGGTGAATCGTGCTCCTCCTCTTGCTGTTCGGGCGGAGGCGGTGGTGGCGGCCCGGCCAGCGGCACAGCTTGGTGGGCAGGTTTGGTGGGGGAAGAGGAAGAGTTGCGCCGTGCTGCAAGTGGTGGTGGACTGCGACTGTTCGAGTTCGACTCAGGTTGTCTTGAGCGGTTGAGCCACGAAAGTTGTTGACCTCGTGAAGTTCAAAGCGGACGAAAAGCCCAAAAGAATTCTTTAAAAACTGAGTTGGTAAATAATGTCTTTCCACAATTTCAAGTGCAACATTTTAGGGCGAACTGAGATGTTTCGTATGATTTTGGTGCTCCAGTGGTGCTGCACAAGATTTTTTTTAATCTCATATATGAGGAACCAATTTTTACGTGCAATTTTGAATAATTGATTTCACAACATAAACTCATGTAGTATTCTTGATTTTTATCCTCGCAAAAAATGTATTCATGATTTTTAGTCTTATTTTAACTTGTGGATTTTGTTTACAACGATTTTTCACCATCCTTCAAAACTAGAACATTTTCACTGAGTGCCAAGTGGTCGACCACACCTAACGTTCTTGATCTTTTCTTTTTGAATCAAAGGTGTTCCTTTGCAGCCATATACATAGTTTTTTATTTTATTTCACACTTGAAATTTTGCACATTATCCTACTTACTAAAATATTATTATCTTCAAGTTCTTTTAAAATTTTAATTTGCACTATCTTCTATAGATTGTCCATTTTAGCTAGAGTTAGACATATTTGACCGCTCATAGTTTTCTTTATGAAAAAAAAACCACTAGGCCTGGTTACAAGAGCTTTAGTAGCAGCTCAGGTCCTGGGTTCGACTCCCCATTGGAACAAATATTTTAGGATTTATCGGCGTTGTGCATTTAGTGGTAGGCGACGTTCCCGTCGACACATCGATCTTGAGGATTTGATGTCTCGGTCTTCGAAGATGCTCATAGAGGTAGGTTGCATGCGTGCGTTCATAGGATGAGTGTGCGTATGTCATGAGTATCTACGTTCCACAGTGTAATTCTAAAAAAAACCACTAAGTTTATTTGGCTGCAGCTGTAGCCGCTTTTTTCACAGTAATCTATGACATCCACTTTTTCTTCACTCATAGATTATTGCCACAGCCACTTTTTCTTCACTCACATATTACTGTGGAAAAACGGCTACATGCCCACTACTTTCATGGTATATATTTCATATTTGTAAAGCTAGAGCACAATAGGTTTTGGTCAAATATGCACAAATGGGCTAAGAAAGAATAGTGGTACGTCAAGACACTTCTAAAGTAACGGTTTTTTTAGAGGTGTCATGTTTCTTGTTCTAGAAATCGATCGCCGCTCCTTAAAATGTAAATAGAGACTAGTTGATGGACTATCCCTGAAAATCTATTTACTTTCATGAATTTTTGTAATGGATATTTTGGTTTCTAAACAATTTCAAATAAAAAAGGTTCCAACTACAAAGTTTTCGATCTCATTGATTACTATAACTTCAATTTAGGGTGTCTCTCCATCTAAGTTGGTTTGAAAATTTCAAAGTCTCAAAATGTAAAATATGGGACCCTAGATTATCTTAGACGAAAAAGTCATCAACTACAAAGTTGTAGATCTCTTTGGGGCCAGAGATTTATTTGAAGGTCATCCATCAACTTGAGATTCTTCGTACGAGAGCTAGGGGGTAGGAGGTGAGGGATGATAAGGGATCTTGGGGATAGATTTTCTGGAATTGAATCTTGGTTTACACGAGTTGCGAGATAAACATCGTGCCAGTGGGCTTCACCACCACATGGAAAAAGGTCGAGAGAGAGAGTCTTCAGGTACACGAGAGTTGTGGTTCTTGGTCTGGAGAGACTCTAGGAGGTCGGCTAGGTTGACACCTTGGGAGAGAGAGGTGATAGTTAGTCATTGGAGTATGTGAGGGGTCCTTTGTAAAATTTAATTTTGGAACAACAATCGGGTCATGACAATGCCGATGAGGCGCTTGGCCCCGTGGATCTTCTCTAGTATGTCACCTAAGCAGCACGTAGCGGCCACCACGTTTTGTGCCATGTGAGGGAAGTCGGGGGGTTCCAAGAGTCCCCACGTCGCTGTTGATGTTGTCTTGGGCGATGCAAGCATGACCACGGGCCTAGTTCACCGAGTGGCGCTCTAGTTCCTCACACTGCCGCTCGAGCTCCTGGCATTCGACCTTGAGATTGGCCTACATCACCTTGAGTTGCTCTTCCTTCTCGCAAAGGTAGGCGGCCCTCTAGCTAGGGCTCAAGTCCAGTGGTGTGGCCATGGGGCCCCAGTTGCCACTAGATTGGCCCTCGACGCTGGAGAAGCACTCGTGCTCTAGGCAATAGCATTCAGCCTCATCAGAGTCATTCTCTGAGTTAGCCCCAGAGAGCAACTAAGGGAGAATACATACCGAGGTGACATTGGTTCCGATGGCACCTGTGAGGAGATGTCGTATGATGCTTCTCTACTCATTAACTCTCTTCCGATACACAAAAACCAACCACCGCCCATGCCCTACGACCCAAAATCACCCCTGACACAAATTCTCTGGACCAAAAGATGGCCACCATTTCGAAGTCCAGTCTTCATGGAATTGGTTATTGTGGGAGCGTGGGGATTATGTTTTATGGCAAATCTCTATCTCCGTGGCACTGGAAATCTGCACTTCATAAAGAACTCTCTCTTACAATTCGTAGGTGCAAGTCCTTAAAGAAATCTCTTCTTAAGGATTGGCTTTCTTCTTTTTAATTTTTTACATTCTTTCTTTTTGTATTTTGTATAGACTTATACCCTTTTATAAAAATGAGCTCAGTAGGGGGTTTCCCCTCCTACTTCCCTCAAAAAAAGATGGCCATCAGCCTACAATCCACAAAACCTCCCAAGATACGCCAACAATGTTGACCATCGCCAGTTCAACATGAGTTACGAAGTAGCCATCGCAGTAGCTGACAACGACGAAGCCACTATGGCCAAATCGTTTGTCATCATAGCCTGCGACATTGCCTAGTGTTGGTACGCCAACCTTTGCCTTGGCTCCATCTAATGCTGGGAGAGACCTTCGCGACAAGGTGTGCTCAAACTTCAAGGGTGTCAATATGGCTCCCAACCACCCAATAGACCTCTTCAACTGTAAGCAAGGAGAGAGAGAACCGCTCCAATAATATTGGCGAAGGTTCGTTTAGCTAAGGGCTCGCACCCCAAACATAACCGATGAAGCAGTTATCCTCGCTATAGTCAATGGCCTACGCTCAGGACACTGCTCTTCCAGGCTCGCAAGGAAACTAGCAACAATTGTCGCAGAGTTACACAAGGTCATAGAAAAATATTACAGATTTGATGCATATTTCAAAATTAAGTCAGAGGCGCAAAGGTCCCAACCTCGATCCCCGCCAAGACCACAACAAAGGCCACCATACCCTCGTGGGGAGCTGATCAACGTCAATGCCATAGAAAATACACCCTCGCCCAACCAAAGACAACAACAACCGCAAAGACACCAAGAAACCTTCGCTAATCAGAATGAACCCAAAACCAATCCCACAAATAGAGATCCACCAAAAGACCACTCAAAACTCTACTGCCACTTCTATGGCCCAGGCAAGGGCCACACAACAAAACAATGTGCTTGCTTCATCAAGGGAAAATAATTCCAAGAATCCCAACAAGCAGATTTACTCCAAACCCAATCAACCAAACATGAAGGCAACCCAACCAAACACTTGCCCATGCTTACTACTACACCCCTAAACTATAGTTTACCTTCGCAACAACCAACCCATACATACTCAAGCTACCCAACCTTTTACCACCATACCAAACCTACAACAACTTCGATGCACATCACCACCCTTTCCAATAGCTTCGAAGCCAACGCTATACACTTCACCAGATTGTTACTCATCTGAAAAACACATGTAGCACTGGTAGAAAGCACGGGCCTCAACCATCTTCCTCGGCTCCTCGGTCACCGCAATGCATCCTCTACCATTTTTAGCATCCCGCAAAGCTCTACATTCTGACTAATAATATCCTGGGCATCCTCCTGCTCCTTCTCCACAACCTCCCTCTCCCTAGCCATCGCTGCCTCCAGCTCCTCTAGTTTCTTCCTCAAATCAAATCACCATTCTCATTGGCGAGGTCTGTTGTAGTCTTTTTCTCAACCTTCACACCCCTTCTAGCTTCTCAACTTTCTTGCGAAGGTCAGTCTCAACATAACCGTTGTGTCACTTCATAGCCCGCGCAAGTAGCAACGATCTCACAGTGTTGGCTTCTACTTCCTCTGCAAGACATCCACCGTCTGCCTAGATAGCAGAAGCTCTGCCTTAGGGAGACACATTCGGTGAAACACACTGGCCAAAAACCTTTGCTCCTCAGGATTTCCTAAAAGGTGACATGAGCAGAGGTCCAGGCTGGTATACAACTCAGTTGGAGCCTCATTAGCTCCAAGCTTACTGCTCATATGAACAAGGGTCCCCCACCTAGCCTCGCCAAACCATGTCTTACCATGAACCTTCACTGGGTCCTCATCATTAACAACCTTCTGCCCATCCACGAGAATATGGACCCTCCTCTGGCGAGGCGCCGCACCACCACCCTCCTCCATATCGACATCCTTGTCGTTGCCTAGGACTACCCCCACCTCATCATCATCATCATCATCATCATCATCATCATCATCATCCCTGGTCGGTCCATGAGGCGAGCTCACAGGAAGCATCCTCCTCTTCGTCTTTCGTTGACTCCACCGCCCCGTTAGAACCGTCG